CCCCCCCCCCCCCCCCCCCCCCCCAACACACACACACACACACACATACACACACACACATCAACACAATGGCCACACCAACATCCCTCTCCTCCGCCACAATGCTGGCCCGCCTCCCCCGTCTCAACTTCCTCCTACTGTCGAGGTCATACCGTTTCTTCTCCCCAAACCAATTGCTCCAATACACCCCCGGGTTCCTCTTTACCGCACCCGCAGCCCTCACCCTCGACATCCCGGCCATCCTCTCCGATATCTGGGATTCCGTCCTGCGCGCCGTGCCCAAAAAGAAGACATCGCATATGAAGAAGAGACACCGGCAGATGGCCGGGAAGGCCCTCAAGGACCATCTGGACCTCAATAGGTGTTCTAGCTGTGGAGAGCCGAAGAGGGCACATTTGCTGTGTCCGACGTGTGTTGCTGGTAAGTGCGATTTGATATGTGGGGGTTGGAAAACTGGAAGAAGGGCATGGAATTGGAGCTAACTGGTCTTGCGCAGAAATCAGACAGGAATGGAAAGAGGCTGAGAAGGAGAGGGCGAAAAAGTCTTGATTTATATATATATATATATATATATATATATATGCGTATTTTCTAGTTTCTTACTTTTGGGAGGATGTAGAAGGGGGCTGTATCAGCAAAGACGGAAAAGAATATTAAGGGATGTTTTATGGCATAGCATTTGGCGTTCGGTTTGATGTCATGATATGTATTTGTATTATATTTTTATATCCCTTTTTATATTATATCCGACAGAATTAGATTGTTGACGACAAGCGGCTTGTCTTGGTATCTCATCAGGATTGGCAGTGGCACGCAGTTACAGATGTAGGTGTAGGTAGCTGTGAGATACATGTTCAATCCATTCTGTTTGGAATTTGTAAATATCCAATTGTATTGGTGATATCAGTATGATTATTTTGTAAGTTCCCTAATATATTCACAACATCTGGTGAATTAAATCTCTTCATGCACCCTCATATCTTTGACATCTTTCCAACTCCAACGACTCTCCATACTCCTCACAAACACCACCCAATACCACTATGATGAAAGAGAGACCAGGTCCTTAAACATGGTAAGCCGGCACTTAAATGACCAATTTACAAAAATCGAACATAAATCTAACACATGAGAGAAATAGTCAAAGCAATACTTGACTCTTCATACAATTGACAATGGTATTACTCATCCCCTTGCCCGGGCCGAACCACCAACCACCAGTCAAAAAATTATAAGAATTCCCAAACCCTTGCACCAAAAACGCACCAAAAAACAAGGGAAACAAAAAACAAAAAAAAACATGAAAACCACTTAACTAAATCACTCCTCACAGCTCACCCCGTCGAAATATTCTCTCTGGCAGTGACCCCGAGCCAAGTTATATCATGCTCGGGCGCCTCGTCGCTCAAAGTCCACTCAACAACACCAACGCCAACGGGCACAGGAACAGAGACAGACTTCCCCATAGCCCAATCCATTGAGGCCGCGCACAAGATTGGTTGCCACCACCTCGCCACCAGTGCAGATGGAACGAGATTCGCCAGCGTCGGTTTTGGGGGAGAGGTTAAGCTGTGGTCGTTTGTGGATGGGATGTGGGTAGAGGAAGGGGGGCTGAAAGGTATGTAATTATTTTTATTTTCATATTAAAAAGTATTATTTCTGTGAAAGGGTCTGATGAAAGGGAAGTAAAAACTGACAAAATATATTTGTACATTCAGAAAGCAAAAAGGTCAGCGAGATATGGGCTGTCGCTTTATCGGCTCATGGCGAGTATCTGGCCGGCACGACGCTCGATGGCCGTATTAAAGTCTGGCATATCCAGAAGGATGATGTGGAGCTCATCTGCGATCTGGAGACGAAGGGGAGCTTTGGGATGTGTATTGCCCTGGTGTGTAATTTTGACTCCATGCATCCATGCTTTTTCCCTTCACGTTGTTCAAACCATAGCTACCCCCCCCCATGGTGGTGGCATACTGATCACTGAAAATGATTATGTCTCCAGTCGGCCGATGGCTGCTTGACAGCATCTGGCCACGCGAATGGAAACGTCTATATCTTTCTGAACGAGACGGGGAGAATGATACATTCTTTATCCGGTATTGATCAGTTTTGCCTCTTATTACCCTAACCTCCCATAAACAGATGGCGAGACATATACTAAACTCAATTCTCCAGGCCTTGTCTCCTCCGTTCGAGCTGTATCTTTCTCTCCGGGTGGTAAACTGCTTGCAGCCGCGGGGGACTCGAGAGTGATCCAGCTCTATGAAACTTCATCGGGGGAGCAGGTTGCTGCTCTGATGGGACATACGTCTTGGATTACCTCTCTTGATTGGAGTCATACTGGTGAATTCCTGTTGAGTTCGTAAGTTGATACATCTCTATTCATACGTTTATGGATTTTATTCCCTCGTCTCGGTCCGCATCTTCAACCTCTCCCTCGTTCTTTCAACTCATTGGCATTGAGAGAAGTATCTGACCAGTTTTGAGCTACAGAGCGCTTGATGGGAAAGTTAAGGTGTGGTCAGCTGAGCGGAGAGCGTGTGTGGCAACGCTTTCTGAGTCCGATGTGGCTATATGGAGTGCAAAATGGTTGCTGAAAGTTGGAACTACGGAGAAGTTTGTCACGGCGAGTGCTAAGGGCAGTATCACCTTTTATCGCGAGGCTACGGGGGTATGAGAACGGGGAGGGAGAAGGGAGTCATTTGGAGTGCAAACTGGACTCAAATAGGTTGGGAAATGGGAGCCCGACGGGTATACCCTTTTATGGAAGCTGATGCGAAATTTGATGCGATGAATAAATACAGGGGTAATTAAATAAAACTATTTTCCACTGATGGAAAAAGAAACAAAATCCTCCCGCCTACTCCAAACGTCATAAAAGTCATAAAAGTCATAAAAGTCATTAAATTCCTTCCCCCCCAAAAAAAGAAAAGGGACCAACAACCCAACCCCCTCACTTCATAGCCGCAACAAACAATTTCCTCATCCTTTTCAAAAAAGCCCCAAAATCCCTATCATCATTCACAACCATGAGCTCCTGCTCCACAAGCCCCCTCTCCAACTTCGGCCTACAATGAAAGATTTCATAATCCCTACTCGCCGTCCCAAGCTCAAACCACGCTTCCCGCTCCCAATCCTTCTCCAGCAAATGGGTATAGACAATCCTAAGACGATCCTCACGCCCAGCCCCCTCAATGCGCAGACACAGGTAATCCTGCCAGAATTCCAGTTCGGGCGTGTTCAGGCGCGCCTGGGCATCCAGGTGTCTCGCGTGAGCCCGCTGCGCTTCCAGGCGTTGGCTGATGGTCTTCTGAGTCTCCTCGATTTGCTGCTTGAGGCGGTCGCGGGTGGCGAGGCGGGCGTCGCGCTGGGATGTGATGGTTGCGATGGCCTCGTGCATTTCTGCGGCTTCTGCGGCTTCCTTTTGCAGGGTTTGGGCGTGTGTTTGGGATTTTAGGTCGAGGATTTCAATGTCTTTTTGTTTTAGGCGGCGGTCCTCTGTTTATACATATAAATGTAAATATATTTATCAGTTATGTATGTGTGATGTGACGATCTAGATATATATAGATGGATAGATATTGCGAAAAAACTTATATTCTATAAACAATGAACCTGTCACAACGGTGGAGCAAACCAGCACATACCTTGTAGCTCAGCCAGATTCACGCGAAATTGGTTTCGCTCTTCGAGTACTTGTTTCCTCCCCCTTTCAATAAAACTGTCGAATTTCGCTGTGAATTGTGCCATGCGGGCGCGTAGGTCCTCGAAGCCAAAGTTGGTGCTTGGAAGTTGATCCGCCATGGACGGCGCATCCGCCGTTGATAGAGGCGGGCGCATGCCACTTGTAGATAGTGAGGGTTCAAAAGCGGTAGCCATTTTGTAGAAATTTCTTGTCTGTGTGTATATAACGGGTGACAACGTGTGGTAGTTGTGCACATTGGGGAGTATCTTTATCTGAATTGACAGGTTAGGTTTGGTTGGTGATGGGTAACAAATAATGCGTGGTGATTAACTTTCATCCGGTTGCGGCGCAACAGAGCGCCCGCGCTAACCCGATCTGGTAGCCAGCTACCCACAGAAAAAGTCACCCGCGGTTTTCCTTTTCTCGAACCTGCGTTAGACGTCTATAACATGTCTTTTGCCCGCATCCACAGGACTCCTCCTAACTCTCCAATGCATATTGCTACTTCAACCAACTGATACTGTGGACTGAGTTCGACTTGGCCCGTTATGATGTTCTATATACCAGAAACCAATGTTAGGCGAAAACCATATGGGTGACCATCGAACAAACACCCTGCATTACGGGCAATTGGGCACTGCAACTTATCTACCAGACCTGCAGATATGGGAGTTTTCACGCAAGATCGAAAGAGGTATTAGTTGGTTAATTGCGTTTTGTATATGGGCTATTTTTATGCATGCTAATGCTGTTTTACAAAAAGAGCCGGCGCTTTTCTTTTACGGTCATTTTAAATGTTCCCTACCTGCATCGAGCGCTTGGAGAAACATCCACGAAAGCAGCGCGCCATTAACCAGCAAAAGGGAGGAGGCCTTACTGAAAGTGAGGCCAGAGCTAGCGCCTGGTCTGGGATTGTTAAGTCGATATGAAGCTTCGTCCCGAGCTATCACCGTTGCTGCAACCAAGTTCGATCCCAACGTTTCTAGTCTTTTGGCTGTTGGAACCGCGGTCAACTTTAACTACCGCAGTTGTGGCCGTTCCGCTATACCAATTGCAGTTCTTGCTGGTGGTGACTCTGCCACATCCATCCAACTTGTGGAATTGGACGAAGAGAGTGTCCCATGGCCTCCGGATGGTGACAGGTTATGTCACGTACCGACTCTCCGGAGCCGGGGAAAGGCGCTGTGGATGGCGACTGCCGGACCTGTGCAGCAGATATGCTTTGCTGAAACTCTGGATGAAAAGAGTACATGGCTAGCTGTGCGGTTTCTACAGGCAACCATCGTATTCCGCCCTCAGTACAACAAGCTCCCGCTCTCCGCCCATTACGATGAGATGGACTTCGTGCGGGGAGGTCAGGAAGATACACATCTGGATGCCAACCCAATCCTACATGTATCAATCTCTCTAACGGGCGGGTTGCCGCATGCCGATGTTACGTTTAATCCATGGTACCCACAACAGATTGCAATTGTCGATCGTCAGGGAAATTGGAGTGTCTGGGATATTGGGAAGCCACGCCAAAGTACGATTTGGCGCGCTGATCGTGGCCCGTCCGGCAGCTTGGGCCTGGAGGGCACGTCGCAGAAAGATGAGCTTGCCCAAAGAGACCATTATGATGGATGGGCTGCTGTTTCTTGGGTGGGAGATGTTCATAAGTTGCTTGTTTGCGACAGACGGACTATAGCCTTGTTTCGAACAGATACTGATCCTGTACAACGCTATCCTGTTGACGTTGGCATAGAGCGCGAGTCCGAGTGGATCTTAGACATTAGAAGAAGCCAGTCAAACCTCGCTAGTATATTCGTTCTCACAACCACGCAAGTAATTTGGCTGCATGTTAATAGTGAAGGCTTTTCATCATCTGGCTGTGAGAAAGAAAACCAGGAGATTTCCGTCCTTCTCTCTTGGCGCCATTTTCGAGATCCGGAAGATACTAGTCTTCGATTGGTACCCTTACTCGTACATAACGGTAATCTTGACCCCACAGCATTTGAATTACCTGTCGAAGTCAGTAGTTTGCTAATATCGATGTAGATTTTTCCCTCGTTCTAACCTCGCGACTCAACTCCATGGCACAGGTATTTCGCTTCTCTTTCTCGCCAGATGATCCATCAATTCCAGTATCGGTCGCAGACCCATTTCTTCTTCCATTGCCCACTAGCAGCAGTGGTGATGGAAAAATCCCTAAACAGCTGTCAGATAGTTCTTATTTTTTGTCTATGATATTTCAACAAGTCACAGACTCTAATATCATGGATCCTATTAATGACAACAAAACCCTCAAGCTCGTCAAATTCATTGCCCAGCGCGCCAATATGGAGGTCATTGAGTCCTTATACGTCGCAAGGATTGATAGTGAGGAAGGCGCCTATGAACCATATAGTTTCACTCCTCAACGGCGGAAATCGGTGAGAAGCGAAAAATGGGTTGACGATGATGATTTTATAGTGGATGATTTGAACGAACTGGTACTGCTACCGTCCTTCCAGAGGAAAAATTGGGATGAAAAAAATAAAATTCTGCCGGACCAACCTTTACGTGCCTTCCCTTACTCCGAGAATTGGACTGGGTTGTACGAGTTGGCTTCTGCGACTGTTACTTGTCTGAAAGGGAGCCGTGGAGGGTTGGCATCGAACAGAACTGAGAAGAAAGGCAAATCTTTTGATAGCTGGTTGGAAAATCTGAGTGACCATATGGGAGATTGGGCAGTGAGGGATTCAGAATCATCGCCAAACTCCAGAACACTGTTAGTGTATCAGCCTTCCTTTCCTTTTTGCTGTCATCTTTTTAATCGTGAAAAAAATTCTAGGCTTGAAATTCTTCCATCTCCTCCTTCACTGGATGACATTGAACGTAACACGAACGTTTTCGATCAGATTTTGAGAACCTTTTCAGATTCAGCGCAAACCCTCTTGCCGGGATACCAAATCACCAGTGTCCCGATGCCATATTCCTCATCCGCCTGCGTTTCGGTGTCTGACTCCAATTCCGCTCATGAAACCCCGGCCAGCGTCACTAAGCTATATGATTCTCTGGTCCATGACTGGCTTTTCCCACTCCCCGGGGACGTCCCAAATAAGATTCGAATGGCCAAAGAGAAAATGATACGTAACATCGTCATGCAATTGATCTTGTCAAGAATCATTATCACCAGACGACCAGATGTTGAACTACCAGTTTCCCATCACATCTCCGAGTCTGAAGACCTCCATTCTTATCTCCCTTCATCAGCACCAGCATCAATCGAACCCTTACCCCAGTCGAAAAATCCCACCTTAACCGTCACTTCCTCTACTGGGCAGACCGGATTAGACACAGATAGTGTCTTGCCCACATCCTCCCAGGCCGCTACCACAGCCACCACCACCACCACCACCGACACAACCCCAACCCCAGGCACCTCTGCACAACCACAAACCCCTTACTCAACCTTACGCCTCTACACAGCCCTAAAACTCCAACAACCCCCCACCCTCCCCCGCCGCATAACCTCCACCCTCTCGCACTGGAAACTCGGCACAGACCCCTCAACCTACAACTGGCGAGCAGCCGTCCACCGCCTCCGTGAAGAAGAAATCGAAACCGAAAGTCAAAGCGCCAGTCGGCGGGCGCAAGAGGCGCGAGAGGCACAGGCTGCAAAAACAACAGTCGCAATCGCAACCGAGTCTGGGTGTCAATGCTGATTCGTACGCGGCTTCGTCTCTAGTTTCCGGGTCGCAGGTGCCTGTTGTGAGGATGTCGGGGAGACAGAGCCAGAGGGTGGGGCAGAGTCAGGAGTCTGGGTCGTTGTTGGGGAGTGGG